CACAGGCCACCCGCTCTCCACCAGGTGCTCCTCTGACCACCGCAGCCCCACCCCTCCAGGAAGCCTGGGCCACAACCAGGAAGAGAGCAGGCCCCCGGACGCCTGCTGGGCCCACCCATCACGCTCCCACGTTCCTCTCTGCCGCTTGTGCCTAAGAAAACACACACCATCTCTGCCAGGGCTGAACCTCGAGATGGCAAGCTCTGAGCGCAAGCTCTCAGAAGGAAGAGTGTGTGGGGTATGAGTGTGTGTGTCCCAGGAAGAAGGCTGTGTGTTGTTTGTGTGTGTGTGTGTGTGTGTGTGTGTGTTTGGTGTTTATGCCATGTGTGTTGAGGGTTAAGTGGAAGGGCCACGGGTTTCATGAATGCTGGATGATGATGATGTCCGCATGTCCTCAGTGGTCATGGGAAGCCTCTTGGCCACATAAGGACCACCTAGACGATCCCTGAACAGCTGTAGAAGTGATGAAAGGTGCTCATGCTCCACGTGGACGAGTCACCTCAAGGCCAGTCCAGCTGTCCCTGGGCCCCTTTGCTTGGGAGGGGATGAATACAAATGCACAGCACAGATGCTGTACGAACACACTTAGGTTTTCGATGGCACAATGTGACCACGTTTGTGCAGCTTATTGCTGAATCAGAAATGAGTTAGAGAAGCCTTTGAGGGGAAGGGTGTCCCGAGTGGTGCAGTTAACACACTCCGCTGTGAATAAAGCAAAGGGCAGGCTGTGTCTACCCAGAGGCATCTCATGAGAAAGGCGCGGCGATCTACTTCTGAACCCTAATGAGCGCAGCTGGACCCCCACACATACAGGGTGGCCAGGAGTCTGGATGGCCTCCAGGGCAACCGGGGTGTGTTTGGAGGAAACAGCGGGTGAACAAACATTTGAATGCGGATGGTGTACTTGACAACCCCTGATGACATATGCAAAATGCTGTCACTTGGTCAAAGCAATAAACAAGTCCCCAGTGAATTTTCCTGCAGGACTTCCTGATCCGAGATACACTCATGTGAAGAACTGCAAGTAAAGTTGAGAGGGAGAGACGGGCTTTCCTTCAGCTCCTTCAAAGACAGAGGCCTTCCACTTGTGGACTTGTTAGTAAATCCCTCTGGCTTGTACAGCGAATGTTACGGCATTAAGGGTGAAGAGGAAGCCAAACCCTGCCACCAACCCTTGGGATCTCTGAAAACTCAAGAGAATGAAATTTGGTGTGACAGACTTCCTCATCAGTCTGGTATGTCACCTGTCATCTTAAAAAATGGTAAACAAACCACGGATATATTTTTCCTCCCCACAGAACTACACCTGTTTTTCAAGATCAGGATCAGGTACGTCTTGGCTGTTGGCACTGAGTAGAGTGGAGGTGGGGACTTCTTTTTTTCACTCCACCTTCTTTCCCATTTGGCTGTTTGTCTTTGACCCTTTCCTGCTCCTGCCACCTAGATGTGGACACTGATGATGATCTTTGGCCACCACAGCTGAAGTTTGCTCTCTGTCCCTCTTCCTGGGATTGGAGGTGCTATGGTTCCCAAAGGAGGCTGGGGAAGGGCGGATGGTCTGTGCTCTCCGACCCCCAGGGGGTGTGTGTATGTCAGATGGGCTGTGTGGCTGAGATGGATATGGAAATGCTGGCAAGGTGAGGGTGGCAGGAGAAAGGGACCTCAGTGGGGGCTTCTGTGAGCTGTCCTGGAGGGTGATTCCCCTGCCTCTCCAAGGAGATAATCAAGAAAACAATGTCTGCTGTGGCTGCATTACAAAGTTGAATCTCTTTCGTGGGAGGTTTGTTCATTCAGTGAATATTTGCTGCATGCTTGCACTGCAGGAGCCCTGGGGGCTGTGGGTTAGAGATTCAGCTTTCTAACTGAAAGGTCACAGTTTGAACCCACCAGCCACTCCAAGGGATAAATATGAGTCTAAAAAAAAAAATGAGGCAGTCTGTGTGTAGATTTACAGCCTCAGGAACTTGATGGAGGGTGGGCATGAGCAGTGAGTTTGGTTTTTCTGTTGTTGTTATTTATTATTTCTGGTAGAAACCCTGATGGTGCCAGGTGTAAGTCTTTGGCTGCTTAACCGAAAGGTCAGCAGTTCAAACCCGCCAGCTGCTGCATGGGAGAAAATGTAGACATCTGCTTCCATAAAGATTTACAACCTTGGGAAGTGTAGCACAACTCTCCTTTGCCCTGTAGGGTTGCTACCTGCTGGGGTTGATTTGCTGTCTGTGGAATGTGCATTGTTTCAGGCCATGCCCTAGGTGCTGAGGATAAAGTTGTGAAGGACAGGCATCCAACACACAACAATTTGGATAAATCCCCAAGGAATTCTACTGTGTGAAAAAGCCAAGAGTTAATCCTGTGGAATTCCATTGTTGAAATGGAATTTAGGAAGTGTGATTGCCAGGGCTTGGGGCTAGGGGGCTGGCGGTTGCAGGGGAAGGAGGTGGGAGCATTTCTAAAAGGACAGTACGTACAATAGATGAATAGGGTGAAGCGACTGTTTAGGAAGCTGACTGATGAGGAAGCCTTGAATCTAAACATGCAGCCGAGTGACCTGCACCCTCGAGTTGATTTGGGCTCCTATCAGCCTTCCCTCAGGTTTCTGAGGCTATAAATCCTAAGGGAAGTAGACTGCCTTGTCTTTTTCTGGAAGAGTGATTGGAGGATTCAAACCCCTGTACATCTGCTTATCGGCCCAACACGTAGCACAATACACCAAAATCATACAGAACAAAACACACACACAAATGGGTCTGCGGATGAGTTGGGTGGTCGGAGTCTGGCTGGTAGACCATCTCAATGCCAGCATCCTGGCTGTGATGTTATGCTGCTGGTTGGCCAAATGTTTTCTGTTGCTGGGGACACTGGATCCAACACAGGGGGTCTCGCTGTGTTATCCCACAACTGCAGGAATCTACAAGGAGCTCAGGTCCCTATTTGCAGGGAGTCTTCCAGTAGACACAGAGACTTAGGAAGCTGCTGGAACTTCCTGTCCTTGGGCCTCCACTGGGGACAGAGGAAGTCCAGGCTCAGGGCAGGAGGAAGGCACAGAGTAAAGATGTGGCTCCCAGCCCTCTGACAACATGACAAGGACACTGGAATCAGCCCACCTGCCTTGGGTTCTCTATACCATGGGCCAGGTACCCGCTGGACTGGAAATGTGACACTCAGATGCCCTGGGGCTCCCTAAATCACGTGCCACTCTTCTTTCTGGCTTGTTCCCAACTTCCTCCATTGCTGCCACCTGGCTCCAGAACCACCACCCTCCTTCCCTCTCTGCCCCCAAAGCCTGGCAACATTCCCGATGTCAGAGGGACCTTGACTTGACAGTAGAATACCAGAAATATGTTTACCTGTGACTCTGCAAAGGCCTTTGACTCTGTGGATCTTAACAAATTATGGCTAACATTGAGAAGAATGGGAATCTCAGAACACTTATTGTGTCCATAGGAAACCTATACCTAGACCAAGAAGTAGCTGTCTGAACAGAGCAAGGGAACAAGACTACATGGTTTAAAATCAGGAAAGGTGTGTGTCAGAGTTGCATCCTTTATCCATACTTATTCAATCTCTGTGCTGAGCAATTCACTTGAGAAGCCGGTCTGTATGAAAAAGAATGTGGCTTCAGGACTGGAGGAAACTCAACAACTTGTGCTATGCAGGAAACATAACTTTGCACAAAGTGAAGACTTGAAGCACTTACTATAGAAGATCAAAGAATACTGCCTTCAATATGGATTATATCTCAACATAAAAAAAAAACCCAAATATCCTCACCAGTGGGCCAATCTTAAAGATTGAAGTTGTCAACGATTTCATTTTACTTAGATCTATAATCAACACTCATGGTAGCAACAGTCAAGAAATGCAAAGACTTGTTGCATTGGGAAAATCTGCTGTTAAGGAATTCTCCAAAAGTGCTAAAAAGCAACAATGTCAGTTTACAGACTAAGGTGTGCCTGATCTAAGCCATGGTTTTTTTCAGTTACCTGCTACGTATCTGAAAGGTGGACCATGAACAAGGATGACAGAAGAGCTGATGCCTTTAAACTGTGTGTGGGAGAAGGGTATTGAATATCATCCCATGGACTGTCAAAAAACACACACAAATCTGTCTTGGAGGAACCAGAGTGCTCTTTAGAGGCAAGGATAGTGCAACGCTGTCTCATACAATTGGGGGATGTTTTCAGGAGGGGCCAGTCCTTGGAAGAAGGCATCATGTTGGGAAATGTCAGAGAAAGTGAGGAAAATCCTTAACAAGCCTGACTGACACAGCGACGGTAACAACGGGTTTAAGTGTGTCCGACGGTGGCCATGGCGCAGGTTAGGACAGGGTGAGATCTGCTGTTCGTTAGGTGGTTTGTGACACTCCATGACTTGTAGTGGACTCGATGGCACCTGACACCACCACCTGACCGAGCTGGATGGCCTCACTGCTGACACTCTGTCCCCTCAGGCGAGGAGTCATCTAGTTTACTGCTTCAGAAGGACTTCAAAAGAAGCTGTGTAAAAAACAAAGCCAGGTCTGAACAGACTTTAAAGCTTTTTATTATTTTTCATTATGCTGTGCTTTGCATGAGATGGCTGCAAAGCAGCATGCTTTCCTGACCACTTCACTTACTGACGGCCGGGCCGATGGAGCCAGAATTCCCAAACATGCAGTTCAGTCCATTAGAAGGGAGGGAGAGAAGACAGAATGGATGTGGCAGTGAGAGGAATTGGAAACACGTATCTCTCTTCTCCAAGAGGCTGATGATTGCTCATTCTAAGAATGATAACAATGATTTAATATCGAGTCTGATTCAAGGTCAAGATCTTTAGAAAAAAAGGGCTCTCCTGGAAATGCTAGAGTGAATCAATAGAGATCTGACTGACTTGCAAAGAAGGTTCTAGACTTAAAATGAAATATCATCTCTACCATGACTGTGTCACCAGGTACGGAGAGGAATAAATATGAGAAAGGAAGCAGTGAGTGGAGAGCTGAGGCAGCTGAGGTGACTGGCCTGTCAGGCCTGCTGGGGCTCCAGGTGGTCTGAGGCCTCAGCCCTGTCCTCCTTGTCAGGGAAGGGGTCCCGTGCATCAGGGATGAACAGCCCATGCAGGTCCAGGTGCATGTCCACATCCACAGAGGCACGGGCCAGCTCCGTGAAGCTTTTGGCATCCAGAATGAGCAGAAAAGGAGGTTTTTGGGGATCGGTAGAAACGATGGCAGATAAGATAATTCCTTTAGGGAAACAAAGAGAGACATTTATGAAAATGCAGCATTGTTCCTCCTCTTCTGCTTGCCTCTCTGTCCCTGGGGACTTACGTGTTTACTTAGAGGAGAAGGGAAGTGGATCAGGAGCCTGCGTGTGGAAGGGAAAGGGTGAGGATCTAGGTATATCAGGAAAGCTCGTTCCAATGCTGGCTAAAACCTCTCCGACCCTCAGTCTCTTCATCTAGCCAGTGGGCATAATCCTGCCCTCAGGAGCTGCTGAGAGACTCTCTGGTAGGTAAAGTGTTGACGGATGACTGTTCTTTTCATGTGAGAACCCTGATGGTAGAGAATCTGCTTTGGAGGTGCCCTTAGGCCAACGGGCCCCACTCTGGGTGAGCTCAGAGGCGTGATGCCCGTGTGCTTCCCGCATATGAAGCCTGTCTGCCATGTCAGGTCCCTCCTCTGAAAAAGGCAAATATGGGCAGACCTTGGGAATACTGCAGTTCTGTTCCAGACCACTAAAATAAAGCCATTATCACAAGAGAGAGCTCTGCTGGCCTACTGGTAAGCTGTGGTGCTGCCAACCCAAAAGTATGAAGTTCAAATCCATCAGCTGCTCCGCGGGAGGCAGATGGACAATCTCCTCCTATGCCATTTACTGCTTCTCAACACCCACTGGAGGGTCAGCTCTGAGTGGTTCCAGCTTGATGGTACATAACAACTAACAACACCACAATCAAGCAGTCAAGTATGTTGTACGGATTTTTGTTTTGGGGCATATACGTTTAGCAGGCAGCATGCTGTGGTCTGTTCAGTGTGCAACAGTATGACGGAAAAGTATGCAAGACCCTGACAATGACAAAAATGGGAAACAGACACACGGCGAGCACAGGCTGCCGGGAAAGGCCACCAACAGGCCTGCTGAGGGCAGAGCCAGCACAGCCCCCTGGGTGTGAGCAGCACAGGGTCCCTCAGGCGCCGTGTGTGAGTCTGCACTCGTGGGCACCCCCTCACGGGGACAGGAGGGAGCAGTCACGTGTTCACACATCCAGGCGCGAGAGCATCTCGTTGCAGTGGTGTTGAATGTGACTCAGCTGCCCCTCTAGTGGGTTTCAGAGGCTATAAATCACAGGGGAGGAGAGTGCTCACCTTGCTGGTGGATTTGAACTGCCTGCACCGCAAACCCCTACCTACTAGGCACTAGAGATCTGCTCCCCAGGCCTCGTGGATCCCCAGCAAGGTTGGAGGCAGATTGTCTTAGGTTCAAATTCTGCCTCTGTGGGTTCCAGGCTTGTGACATTGGGCAAGTCTCTTGCTGTGAGGGAAATGTGATGATCCGTACTCCCCATGGGGAGAAGGTACAGGAACAATGGGAGAGCGGCCTCAGGAGGAGGTGTGGGCACCCCCACATCTGGGATGATAGTACACAAGGCCCCCACCCTAGCCACACCCCTACTCCCAGCAGGACAAAGCCTTGGAAAGCCTCTCCCTCTGCCCTCAGGGCAGAAGCTGGCAGCGTCCATGGGCAGCGCCCTCCCCTCTGGTGTGGGCAGCCCCAGCTCAGGCTTGGCAGGGTGGTACCCTGTACACGGTTCAGTGACCATCCTTAGTGTCCTGGGGCACAGGCAGGGCAGTTCTGGGGCAAAGGAAGGTTTCCCGTAGGAATAGCACAGACTACAGAAACACATGTTGAGAAGTTTCAGAAAAGGTTACCATGAAAGATTCAAACACTTCAAACCACCACCAGCAGCCCCCACCATCAAGTGGACTCTGACTCAATGATCCTCCAGGACAGAGCACAACTGCCCCATGGGTTCCCAAGGCTGACATCTTTACAGAGGCCAACTGCCTCCTCATTCTCCTGAGGAGTGGCCTGTGCATTCAAGCCGTCAACTTTTCAGTCAGTAGTCCAATACTTAGTCTGCTGTACCACCAGAACTCCACACATTTCTTTTTAAAAAACAAAACACTCACCACATTGCCGTTGAACAGGGACTAACTCACCCACAGTTTGGACCCTCCACTGGGTTTCTGAGGCTAGAAATCTTTACAGGAGGAGACTGACCATCTTTTTCCCTCAGAGTGGCAGATGGATTTGAACCACCACCTTTTTGGTTGGCAGTCAGGCAGTTAAGATTCCAATCTGGCCATGACAATGGATTTAAGGGCTCTGAGACGTGGAGGTTGGCTCAGCAAAGTGTTTGGAGGTTGAAGGACCAAAGCTTCAAACTCTGTTCAACCAGCTGTGTGCCCTGAAGGTTGGAGCAAGGAGCTCACCTCTCTTGAGCCTCAGTGTCCTGATCTGTAAAATGGGCATGCTAACACTAAATGCCTGCTAGGGTGGCTGTCAAAGGTGTCATGGACTTGTCAGGCCATTCAGAGACAAGCCAGCTGTCCCTAGATGAGGTATCTTTTTGAGGGGCGGTCCTACCGTCATCCTCGTCCTGGGCGTCTGGTGCAGGTACAAACAGTGGCTCTGCTGGCCAGCAGTCCTCCTCTTCCCACTTTAAGGAAGTCTTTGTGACAATGTCATATTTGAGTATCTGCATTCAGAGAGGAGAGAGGTGGGAAGCACGTGTTCAAGTGCATGTGTGTCCTGAGAAAATGAGAACTAGACATAAATGGAGATTTGCACACCACTGTTCACAGTAGCATTTTCTCCACTGCAAGAACTTGGAAACAACCCAAATGTCCAACCACAATGGAGTGGATTGAGAATTTGTGGTACATTCGTTGATGGAATACTATGCAGCATGCAGGAGCAAATATCACTTGTAACTTTTAACTTGGGAGGGACTGGAGAGCATTATGCTGAGTGAACTAACTCAGTCCCATAAGACAAATACTGCATAAGACCATTAATGTAGGAATAGCTAACTAGTAAAATGTGTATGAAGACCCAAGTGGGGGATGGTAGAGCAGAGGGGTGAGGATGGGCAGGGAGGAAATCATAGGGCCACACAATTTGGTGGGTGGAGGGGGGGTGGGCAAAGGAAATGGGAAAGATCCAGTGGAGATCTGGAAAGACAGGGTAATGGTGGGCTTGGTTCATTGATGATTAACTTTATAAAACATAATGAATGGCAATGCTTGTATGAAACACAATGTGAATGAAGGATAGTGTGAAACACAATGTATACAAATGTATACAAACTTTACAAACAAACCAATATAAAATAAAAATTTAAAACAACAATAAAAGAGCATGTGTGCTCCTAAAAAGCAGAGACGTTAGGGCTCATGTGGCGAGATTAACAACCAAATGCCACCCGACTGATTCTGTGGTGCACGGTGACCCCACGTGTGTGTAGAACTGGGCTCCACAGGAATTTCAGTAGCCAACTTTTCAGGAGTAGATAGCCAGGCCTTTCTTCCTAGGCGCCAGGCCTTTCTTCCTAGGCACCATCCCTCAGATGCAGGCTTTTAACATGATTTCCCTGGAGCATCTGCCTGCCTGCAGCCACACCTTGTACCTCCACTGAATGAAGGTAGCTTCCTCCTCCAGCTCTGGGCTTAGATTCTCACGTGCCACGCAGCAGACACCGTACAATGAACTATCTTTTAAAGCTAAACATACTAAAGTCGTCTGGAAATGGGTGCTCCAGTGCTTCTTGTAGGCGTGTGAAAAGAGAACACCTTCCGTGTGGACACCTGAGGTCAAATGCATCCCTCTGCTGCAGACAAGTGAGAGCCTCGGTTCTCTCTCCCGCTCTCATCGACTCACCTCCCTCTGGGACACAGGATTAATAGGGAAGGAGTGGCATGGGTGTGCGAGGTGTGTTGGCTCTGTGAGTGGGAACCTGAGGTTTTAGCTTTGTGCATTTCTGCACTGTTTGCACTTCTAAAACTAAATTACCATTTTATAATTTAAAAATGAAAACTATTAAGGTGAAGTGTTGACTGCAATCTTAGCATAGTCCCTGACACACTAAGTATTTGACAAATAGTAGCTTAAAGAATAAATACAGTGAAGATTAAAAGGGCAGCATGTGCCCAGGGGGAAAAGTCAGAAGACAGCAAAGGACAGGAAAGAAGGAGGAATGGGAACAGGAGACACAGGGAGGAGGTGGGAAGAGTGCTGTTACATGTTGGAGATCGCCACCAGTGTCACGAAACAGAATGTCTCTGAAGCATTGAGTGGAAAAGTAATGTGCTCTGTAAACTTTTACCCAAATCACAAAAATCATCATGCAGTGAGAAGTCCACCAGCTTCTCCGTAGGAGAAAGATGGGCATCTCCTCCTGCAAGATTTACTGCCTCTGAAAACCTGCCGGAGGGCCAGCTCATGGGTCTGTTCAAACAGTACATCATGAAGTGAAAAGGGTATGAAGGACAGCATGCTCCCAGCGTGCCGCAAAAGACAAAGGGGAAAAAAGAGTGGACATGGACAGGGTCGACACCACTGAATTTAAGACGAGGAAATGATGGAAGCGGAAAGGGTCACCTCTATTACACCACAATGAAGAAACTGTCTTCAGCTCTCAGCTATACCTTGTCTGCAGGTGAGCTTCACTGCAGCACACAGTAGGTGCTCAGTGAAGACATACTGGACAGAGAAACGGAAGGATACGTGCCATCTATGACCTCTGACCTGCATTCAGTCCATCAGAGATCAAGCACTCTCTCTTTGGGATGGTCCATCACTACTTTAAACTTACTTTGTCCCAAGCTGATCTCTCTGTTTTTCTACCACCCTTTGCTTGGGGTCTTCCTTCCTGGCCTGCTCTGTCCTGACTAAGGCCTCCTACTCTTGAGCCCTGAGAATTCAGCCTCACCGCAGGGCAAGCTGCCGTGAGAACACGGGATCAGTACCTTGGATGGGATTGGGCTCCACTGGACTTCAGCAGCAAAGACGTACCGGTACGGTTTCCCGTTGTGAGTGTAGTTGATCCGAGGAAGCTCCAAGCCTAGAGAGAAATGGTGCCACTGATGAGGCCAACATCACGGAGGGCTGGGAGGACCCCTCCTTTGTGCCACACTGACCATCCTTTCCACAAAGATAGCTCCCAGCCAGGCCCCAGGGCTTTAGTGGGCCTTGGGTTGGATGGAAGGATCGAGGGCTTGTAGGAACCAGGTGGCTAGGGCCAGGGGAGAGCAGGCTCTGATAATCACCCTGGCTCTGCTTGGGGATTTCAGAATGAGATAATGTAGACCTACATTTTTAAAGTATATGAACATCTTTAATTATCCGTGATAAAAATCAAAGGGAATTATATGATTAAAATCAAAGGCTGCTGCAATTCTTTAGCACTCTTTCAGAAAAGAGTGGTGTGTGTGTGTGTGTGTGTGTGTGTGTGTGTGTGTGTGTGTGTTCTAACTGTGGGTGTGGAGACAACCAGCCAAAGGAGGATCAGTGAGGGGAAGTTGGAGAAATGTGGTGAACTCACAAAAAATAACGTCTACAAAGGACTTGGGGGGAAAGGACTTTATATAATATGAAAAACTGACTTACCATAAATTACTTATGTGCATAATTAATTTGGGTATAGAATGAATTTCGGGATGAACAGAAGCATTGCTGCGATTGTACAGTTTTTGATAGTTTAGATTTTATGTTGCGCATTCTAAGTTTTTCCAACTAGGGTGATGGTGACCCCGTCAGGGGACACTAGGCAATATCTACAGGTATTTTTGGTGGTTTCAAATGGGATGGGGGAAGCAGTGCTCCTGGCATCCACTGGGTCAAGACAAGGGGCACTGCTCAACATCCTACAATGAACAGGGCAGCCTCCAACCCAAAGAGTGAGTCAAACATGTCAGGCTGGTAACCTAAAGGTCAGCAGTTCAAATCCACCAGCCACCCCACAAGAGAAAGATAGGTTGCCCTCCCGTCAAGAGCCTTGGGAACCTGGTTCAGGTCACTGTGAGTCGGAATCAACTTGAGGGCCAGGCGCATTGAGATGGAGAAGCCTTGTTTTGGTGATACACTCCCAGTTTTTAGGGGGTTTTAGTCTGCATAGGAATGATTTGCATTTGTATGTGACTCAACTTCTTGGAAAATCCAGTTGTTATATTAGATGGAATTGATAAATCCTCGTATCCACCACCAATCTGTCAGCACTCTGGTGGCTTGTGTGTTATGATGCTGGAAGCTTTGCCACCAGTATTTCAAATACCAGCAGGGCCACTATGCTGGAAAGGCAGAGCCAGCAGACCAGGAACAGAGGCCTGGTGATCGACTGCAGAAAACCAGCCAAGGAGAACCACAGGGGTCACAGCACAGCCGGGTCCAACTCTCTCGTGCTGGCCACATGAGCGGGAAGCAGCAGTGACTAGAGGACCGCACGTCTGGTGAGGAGAGGTCAGTAAAGGCTGGGGGGCCCTCGGGGAGGTGGATCGGCACATGGTGGCAATGACAGGCTCAAACAGGCTGGTGGCTGTGACGGTGACACAGGAACAGGCAATGGTTCTTTCTGTTGTGCACAGATCTCCATGACTAGGTATTGATCTGATGAATCGACCCTACCTACCTATCGTCTATGTTACGGATTACTAAAATGGGCAGCTGTCGAACTACAAATGCGCTGAGCCTTTTCTATAATTAATGAGCACTGTATTTGCAGACAGCAATGGTCAAAGTCTTCTGCTCCAATGACCGTCCAGTGCCTGCCTCTGTGATGTTTGGACAGAGATTAAAGAGAACTGTGGCAAATGCTTTTCACGGGGACAGCCCGAGAACCGCCTCTTTGTCTGCTCTAGACGTACGTGGCCTGTCTGTACGATTGTTACTGTCAGGTGCCAAGCTTGACTCCCAGTGACCCCATGGGCTACCGATCGGAACCCTGCCCTGTTCCATGCCATCCTCGGCGTCTCTGATATACCTGAGCCCAAAGCTACAGCCACTGTGCCAATCCATCTTGTTGGGGAGGAGGTGTCGTTTAAGGAGGCCTCGGCAGTGTGTACAAACCTGCCCCTTCTGTCATCACTGGGAGGAAGGCTGCATCTTTACCTTCATAGAGCAGCTCGGGCTGGCAGTGCACGTGGTCCTCGCTCTCCTTCACTGCTGTTGCTGTTGTAGATGCCAGTTTGATTAAATTAGAGCCCACTTCTGCTTCCTGAAAAGAGTCCGAGTTCAAAGAAAGGAAAACCTGTTAGGCAAAGCAAACATGTGCCTCCCTGGGTACATTTTTAAATGCTTCGGCTTATGATATCTGTACTGGGCCTCCCATTAGCCATGGAAGCAGCTCTGATCTTGTCGGGATCCTTGTCCTCTGCTGTGGAGATGAAGGGTGCCCGACCTGCGCCCTTTATTCTCTGGCTCCTGGGCTCCTTCTCCTCACCAGCACAAGTCCTATTAATGTGCTTCTAAGACCAAGCTCCCACTTTGTAAAGGTGGGTGATTCATCTGTGAAAAGCTGCATCAGTCATTAGAAGGATGTTTATAAAGAGCTTATAATAACATGGGAAATGCTTCTGATAGAATCCTGAGTGGACTAGGCGGCAGACCAAATTGCCTGAGTTCAGCCAAGGTTTTTTTTAAATGACACAGAAAAGGGGTAGCGAGAACTGAGCCTTCCACTGGTGGGATTGTGGGGGACGTCCATTTCTTCCTTTATGCCTATCTGTACAGTCAAGGAGCCTTGGTGGCATAGTGTGGTGTGTGTTGGGTTGTTAACTGAGAGGTCAGTGGTTGGAATCCACCAAGCCCTCTGAGGAACAAAGATGGGAAGTCTCCTCGTGTAAAGATTTCCAGCCTCAGAAACCCAGTGAAGGGTCACCATGCATCAGCATCAACTAGGGGATAGTGGGCTTCCATCCTGACACGGTCTTCTCTTACAGATGTGTATCCAGTATGGACCTATTGCTGATTAAACCCCTAACGTACCGTGCACATCCCTGAAGGGCAGTTCTTAGTCTCAGGATACAACTAGCCATTGTTTCTGTTCAGGACCTTGCTGACTTCAGTGTGTCACAGGGGAGGAATTTCATGGGATTGATGCAAGTAAACATCTGCGCCTGTATCCCAGGTCCGAGGACTTGAGCAAACAAGTTCTCGAGCCTCACTGTAGTGCACAGGAGCTCCAGTGGCAGAATCCACAGGCCCTTGTGCTGCCAACCCCAGGGCCTTACCTCTGGTGGTTCGAATCCACCAGTGGCCCCTCAGGAGAAAGGTGAGCAGTCCTTTCCCATGCACATTACAGCCTCAGACTCTCAGGGGAGGGCCAGCTACGAGTGGTTCCGACTCAACCGTAATGAGTATGAGCACTGCTATGAGGGCCTCCGTGCCTTTCTGTCCAGTTTCCACAGCCAACGGCATAGAAGCAGCAATTGAGAAATCAAACGACATAGTGCATCACACAAACCTGCAGTCAAGGAGTGCTAAAGAGCAATGGTATCACTTTAAAAACTACGGTGAGCCATTTCAACAATCAGTGAAGAAGGAAGCCTAGAGAAGAAAGGATGCCTTTGAATCATGGTGCTGGTGAAAAGAGTCGAATATCCCCCATGGACGAACAAATAAATCTGTCTCGGAAGAAGTGCAACCAAAGAGGCAAAGATGGTGAAACTTTGTCTCACATATTACGGGCCTGTTGTCAGAGGGCAGTCCCTATCCAGTCCCTGGGAAGGACACGACGCTTGGAAAGCAGACAGTCAGGGGATGAGAGGAAGACTATGAGCGAGATGAACTGATGCGGTGGCTGGTGCTACGGGCTTCCAGCACGGCAGGGATGGCCAGGACGGCCCAGGGTTGGCCTCTTGTTTCAGCTGTTCATGGGATCTCTGAGTTGAAGCAGAGCTTAACATTGTCTGGATAACAACAGCACATCCATCATGGAGTTATTGTGAAGATTCAGCGAGCCCACCTCTGCAGAGGGGTCGCACTAGTGCCTGATGAACATTAGCTGCTGGGGTGGTGATAGAAATCTGGAGAACAACCACTTGGCCA